ATTGAGCAATATCACAATTGAAAAATGTTATTTTGAGGAAAAAAATTTGCTTGAGAAAGACATTTATTTATTAAATAATGTAAATATGTTGATTTACCAGAATCTTTTATACAACAGACAAATACAATTAATGGATTAACATTGGTTTGTTTTTTGAAATACGAGAAATGATTTTATCTGTTGTTGAACAAAGTTCATTTGAATAGGGTGTGGGGTGTGGCTGTGGCTTTTTTGAGAATAAAGCCCATAACCACATCCACATCCTACACCCATACCCATACCTTAACAAAGACACGTCCATTTATGATGAAAATTTTACTGTAGAGAGAGGAAGAGCCGAACTTTCCAACAATGGATCGATCAACATTGTATCTTCTTCCTAGCACGAAATAATACAATAGGAAAATATCATTGATATTAGTCTTAGATATCAGTCTAGATAAGGAGTTAGAGCTCGAGCTTTTGCCTGCGATCAGAGCTCATTAAGTTCTTCTTATGGTAGACGTTTCAAGGTAAATAACCCTTATATCGATGGGTTTTGCCTAGCTGCGGGACTTTTGTCCACAACTATATATATATATATAAGCGTGCTATTAAATTTTTTGGTGAAGAATATATAAATGAAAGTTTATTATTAGAATTTGATAAATTTGAAGAACATCAAAAGGAATATAATCGTTGTCAAATGATTTATAAATATGCATTTGAACATTTATCGCAACGTTCATTTGAAAATACATTTAAAGTATATACAATACACGAAAATAAGAAATATAGTGATCGAACTGATATCGAAGATGTTATTACACGTAAAAGAAAATTTCAATATGAAGAAGTAAGAAGAATTTAAGGAGAAAATTTACTGATCAAATGAATTTGTTGTTTTAGGAATTAAAAGAAAATTCAATGGATTATGATACATAGTTTGATTATTTACATTTACGTGAAAGTAAAGATAATTTTACTATTATTCGAAAAAAATATGAAAAAATGATTGCTCAAAAATACCATCTATTCCAATATGTATTTTGTATGAGCGAGGCTAAGATCAGATCAATTTAATCCATGAATTTGAGATTTTCAACAAAAAACAATAAGTTAAGCTGGATTAATTTTGAAGAGCATAGCAGTCATTTGTCAACTGATATCACGAGTAAATTCGCTCAAATTTCTGAGAAATGCAGAGTCAACCAGAAACGGTGGAGCTCTTAGACTTGTGGAGGCTCACGCCTTTCCTAAAATAATTGAGAAGGCACAGATATTTGAAAAATTTTTTTTACAGATCTCATCCTGGTTTTATATTTGAGAAGCGAAAACCGTTTGAACAAGCATTGCTTGGTTTTTCTGAAAAAGTTATGCTCAGTTCGATGTTAGATGGCGGCCGTATGCGATTGCATTATTTTCGACACATCTTCACATATTACTACTATCGACTTGTTGATGAAGAGGAATAGTCAACGCTTTGAACACATCGATGTCACCGGCGTATTTTTAACCATTACTAAAATTTTTGTCATCTTCTCCGCTTTACTTTTCTAAGATTTTGAACAGATAAACAAACAGTAATCTTTGTTTTGTATTTTATTGGAAGGACATTGCAATTAGTTCAGTTTTTTGTTACTCTTTCACAATAATTTGAATATTCTTTTTCTTCTCCTTATTATTATTATTATTATTATTATTATTATTAATAAATATATATATTTACAACAATTTAATTTATATACGTTTCGAAAGCATCAGCCTTCTTCGTCAGTGTGTTCAATTTAAAACAGAACAACCAAATGACAAGTGTACAACTTATGTTTGTGGGTTGTTTCATCAGTCAATAGACTCACAGGCCTCGTTACCCGTCATACTAATGATGCAGATAAGGGTTTTTGGACATATCAGATACTGACAAGAGTGTCATTTTGGATTATTACCAATCGTGCCACTCATGACTCACATGTCCCTAATGAAAATATGACAATCTTTGGTACGATCTATTCTTGGCCAACTATTGAGACGTTCCGAGTCAATCATTCTAGTTGTGTTAGTTGATTATATGCAAGAAAAAAAATATTCTTCTTGCAACAACACTATGTAAATGTTTGTAGATTTTATTTTCATTATGGCTCTTCGTGTGGAATCCCAATGCAAGTTTTTGGATGTCTTTACTTTTCATTCGAAAATTTTTTCAAGACAGCATATGTCGATCTAGAAAGAATACCGTTTTGTAGAGCTTGAAATTCTCTATCTTTTCATATATAAGAAAATTTTTTTCATAATTAAAAAAATGAGAGCAAAATGCACAAAGATTTAGTGCAATTTATTCTGGATCATTTGTTATTTTTCCATTCTAAGTTCGTTGAAATTATTTCTATTATCTTTAATTGTTGTATGTGATGATACTCATGTTAATGTATAAGTTAAATGTTTATTAAAATATTAAAATGATTCTCAATTGTTCAACAAGATGATGAACCGTTTATTACAAGTAACATTTATAACTATTGAATTTGAATTGAATCTTTTTTCAAGTAAACCATGTTTTGTCTTTTAATTGATTAAATGTTATTTAGTGATGATCAATGAGATTTATGTTTAAAGATTGATGTTGCTGTTTTTGTTAGAATCGTATTTATTGTTTCTAATAAGAAAGATTATCTTCATTTATTAAATTAGATTTTTTAATTAAATTTGTTGAATTTATTTGAATATCATTTGAATTATTATCATCCCACGGTAAACATTCATAAGAAATATTTGATGATGATTATTGTTCTTGATCAATCTTTATTATTACTTGAAGATTTTTTTTTTGTATTTAATTAATATTCATGATGAGATGAATTAGAGAATTTATGGTGTATAAAGTTGTAACAAGTGATAGATATTTAGATGTTAAATCTATCTAATGATTATTTGTTTTTTCATTAAGTACATCATGTTAATTAATTATTTTATTTTATAATACTTGCTGTTTTCTTTATAAATTAGATAGACTATTAGTTTTTGTTATTTACTTTTACATCAACTAATCGATTTGTTTTCTTTCTCTTTATCACAGTGGTATTAATAATTTTCAACACTCAATGAAACTTAATATTTGCCTCAGTTGAATATATCAATTTGAAAATTGGATATAATTCGATATTTTTCTGTTCAGATCAAATGAAAAATTTCAATCTTGAATTTAAACTGTTAATCCAATTTGAATATGATTTGTAACCATTTCTAGTTCTACTATTATTGATAATAACCATTCAAATGTTGGTCTTATTTTGACTAAATTTGATTTATTGCGATAAAATTCATCATACGAACATAATAACTGTTTTTCTTATTCTAATAAATTAAAATATTTTATTGATTATTTTCATTCTTGAAAATAATAAAATCCTATTGTTTTTTTTTAAACAAATAAATCAAATAGAATATTAAAAAATCGATTCTTAACTATTTATTGATGAATCGAGCATACATCACATATCAAATATATTTGTTCGACATATTTTCTTTATTCATATATCAATAAATGTCCTCTCCTATCTTCTATTAATGATGTCATTTTATTACCAATGAAATAGTCATATATAACAAAGACTATATGCTCGTCTTCTTCTGTGTCTGTTCATAAAACAAACAAAACCTCGACATGTTCGCTTTTTGACAGTTTATACCTTTCAGTGTACATATTCAACATATATAAATTGATTTAAGGATTATTACTTGAAAGCAATACATCTCTTTCATATTGCTATTATTAGTTAGCTTTCTCATGGATTATTATTATACGAATTGGGAATTTTTTGCTCGATATGCTACAAGTAAGTTTCCTATAAAAGCAAAAACTATTTATTTTTTTTTCTTGTTATTAGATTAGTTTGAATATCGTTATATTTATCTTTTGTGTGTTCTATCCTTGATAATTTTTGATAATATGAGTTCATCAATGAAAGAAGGAATTGTAATTCAAGTTAGAAAATAAAACAGTTACGAGAAAAAATTATTACTCATGATAGAATTCATCAAAGATTCACATAATCCATTAATCTCTAATTATTTTACATAGAAATTGTATGAAAATAAAGACAAAAGTTGAGATCATTATCTAAACAATGGACTTCAATTATTTAAATATTTAATAAAAAGATATGAATTAATTTCTTTATATCGATTACAGATTGTCGATGTATTCTAATTGAAAAATAAGCAAGTTTCGAGAATAATTATGATTCGGATCATCTATCAGTTGGATTTTTATTCAAAATGATCATGTCATTTGTGACTTAACAAATA